TCTTCTTCTTCTTCTTCTTCTTCTTCTTCTTCTTCTTCTTCTTCTTCTTCTTCCATCTATTCTGATTATTCATTAAACTATTCTTTTGTGTTTGTTGTCATCGTTGTTATTGCCGATCTCATGTGTTGTTATTGGTGATCTTTTGTTTTTCTTTGCTAAAGCTGTGCCACGGAGCCTGTTGAACATCGTTCAGTTATCACCTTTTTAACACTAGCCAGGAAAATTCCCTTCGAACATTTTTCAGGAAATGGTCCAAGTTTATGGTAACAAAATTAATGTCCTTGCTCTGATACTGTGGCATATTGGGTAGGAAAGTTCAAATCTGGATTCATGTCGGTGATCGATGAAGATCGTGAAAGACGCCCATCCTTGTGGTAACTGACGAGAATGTATCCATAGTGAATAAACAGGTTCTACAAGACCGACATATAACTGTTGAACAGCTTTCAAGTGAAACGGGAATCAGAGTACCGTTAATTGAAACGATACTCCATGGCCATCTGAACATGAATAAGTTGTCTGCGCGGTGAGTACCCCGTCTTTTGACAAGTGAGCAAAAGAAACAGAGGGTTGAGTCCTGCACTCTTCTCCTTCGAATTCAGCCCAATGACACAAATTTCTTTAAAAACATGGTGACTATGGATGAAATATGGATTTATCATTTTGATTCAGAGCAACAACAAAATGTCCTCTATGCAATGGAAAACCCCTTCTTCTCCCTCACCAACAAAGGCAAAGGTAACACCGTCGAGTGGAAAGGTCATGCTGTCGTGTTTCTGGGATTGTGAAGGTATTATCATGATTGACTACTTGGAAAATGGGGGAAAACGTCACAGGAGACTATTGCCCAGGTTTGCTGATAAAATTGCGGGTCCGAGTTGGTGAGAAAAAAAGGCGTCCAGACAGCAGAACAGTGCGGCTTTGAAATCCTGCCACACCAGCTTTTTCATCAGAGTATTTTTAGAACTTTTTTCTGTTTCCTAATCTTAAAATAATCACCCGAAGGACGTCGGTTCCATGACAATGAGGAAGCCGCTGAAACTGTTGAAAACTGGTAAGGGGGCCTATTCGTGGTCATTTTTCTCTCAAGGACTTTTGCAGGTCAAAGAGAGGTGGCAGAAATGTGTTACCATTCATGGTGACTAAGTAGAGAAATGAAAGTATGTGTACCAAGTTAGAAAACTCTATTATCTTTATTACTTCATTTTTAGACCAAAGACTTCTTGCCCCCCCCCCCCCTCGTATATAAAACAGCAGTGGCCAACCTTGTTATAATGTACAATCTTCGGGCTTGCTTATGTCAGTATCAAAGTAGTCTACGTCGATATTCAGTGCGACAAGCACTTCCCTCCTCTGAAGCGTGATAAAAAAATTGGTGGTGTCAACCGAGGGTGTTAATTGCGTCGTAACAGAAGGTCCCAGGCAGACACAATGTGTCAAGCTGAGGAGGCGTATGGCGGTTTGAAGTGGAGGCGAGGAGGTGGCAAAGTGTTGACCATTTACTCCAAGTTTCGCCTTCTTGGTGGAGACATGTACTTGGCAGGCATCAGATAAATTCACACCACAGGACCACGAATTTATAAACATTTGTTTCACGACGCGGTTGAATCAAGCGCTCGTCTAAATAATGAAATAAAAAACAACAACAAACAAACAAAAATCCCCCGACGTTTTTCTGCTCTACGGGTTATTATTATTGTCTCTCTCTCCCCCCCCCCCCCCCCTGAACTTTTTCCACGTTCATTTAAAAGCTTATTTTTGAGGGGACTTTACTTGGAAACTTTGGTCAAAAGCAAAAAAATGTACATTTGTAGTTTCAAACGACACTAAAACCTGAGAATTCAGTAAACTTTCGTTTCCATTTTCTCGCTAGTTTTGCCTTTGACACCAGGCAACTCTCGCTTTCTTCAATCCTAAATATTACGTGGGTAAACATACGTGGGTATTTTGTCGGCAAAAGAACATATCCTAGACAATTGAACAAGCTGTAAGGTGAAACCACAAACTACATTTTATAATTCCAGAAAAGTGACGATCGCCTGATTCTCCCACGGGAAAAGTCAAGACGTAGTAATTATTAATAATTTAACTAGCCTATTTTTTAAGCGCTGACACGCCAAACTACAAACCGGAGCAAAGGTATTATTATGCCAGGGAAGATCTTTCGTTTTGCCTATAGGTTTTTAGAGGGGTGTGTGTGTTGTTTTGTTGGATATAGATCTATATTTCTTTTTTGTTTGGGTTTTTTTTTGGGGGGGGGGGGCGGATACTTAGATTATTTTGTTTTGACGTTGTTGTTTGTAAATTAACACTCATTCGTCAACATGGAAAAGGACAACTAAACCTCGCTCCTACCTCCTACCTCATCTAGACACTATTTAATGTAGCTTTTGTCCCCTTCTAAAGCTGATAACTTAGTAAACTGATATCACACAAGGGAGGAGAGGACGTTCATTACAGGAATGACTATCATAAACATAGATTCTTTTTTGCTTTCGTAAGTTTTTACGTCATTCGCAACTGCATAAGGTCATAATACGAGCGCCAAGGGGTAGATGTCAACAGAGAAGTCCAAACTGGGAATCAGACTTAGTCTGCTTACCTCTCTATCCTCAACAGTACAATGTCTGCTTCGACTATCAAGGCACCCCAGAAATAGCAGTTCACAAGAGAGTGACAAACATACAAAAGAAGTAGAGGAAATATTGACGACCTTAAGGATGGGGAAAGAAAAAGCAGTTGTTCCCCCTGCCCTATGTTGTTTCGGCATAGTATGAGCACGACATTAATAAATCAGCCCATTTACAATTCAACTGTGCATAAGAACATGTTAATATCCTCCCTTTGGGAATAGCCTAAAGACACTTCAGTCAGTAACACTGTCTTGGTGGGGGAGGGGGGGGGCATAGATTCCACTCGGATTCGAACCTTAAAACCCACATGCACATGGTGACCATAGTAGACTGCCAACGACTTCACACCAACTTGCCCTTCACTAGGGCTTGGGTAATTAGAGTTGTTTTTATTTTGTTTGAGCTTAGTTTAATTTAGCTTTTGTTTTGTTTGCTGTTGTTGTCGGGGTTTGTTGGTTTGTTTGTTTGTTGTTGTTTTTTGGGAGGTGACCCATGTTATTTCTTAATTTGAAGAACCCCCCCCCCCCCCCCAAAAAAAAAACAAAAAAACAACAACCTTGCTGTGCTCTGCAGCTTCCTTGAACCGCCTGTATATTCAAAACTTACCCCATTTCCGCTGGGGATGCACACTTGAGCAGGGTGGTAAGACTTTTCCTTATTTTCACATACTCCGCCGTCATCGATCGTCAGGCACACATCTGAAGCAGGAGAACTATAACAGATGATTTATTGGGGTTAAATCGTCACCCCATTTCTTTTCTACACCTCTCTTAAAGTGCTCGTCAACTGGAGTTTTGTTATTTCAACTGTGAATGTGTTGCCTGTTATAGTGATCGCAGGTATTGAATGTTTTACAGCTTTCTTGGCAAGATCATGTCGCATAAAATCGTTTCATGTAGGTAAACCTATGACACCTATTCATGAGCTGAAGAAGTAGGCGTACTTGCCCAATTTTGCACTTGCAATACCACTGGTTAAAACTGGGGTGGCTAAATGCCGTTTTCGAACTTCACGTTTCACGACAGTTATTGTGTGACTCAAGGAAACATATTGTGAACTGTTTGTTTGTTACCATCAAGTAATATATAAGGTGAATGAGAAAAGTGCTAGTCCTAAAAATACTCTCAGCCTTTCATAAGAAATTGGGACTATTTTATGAAGCTCGTCCAACTATTCAGGTGAGAAGGTGTATCAAATTTGAACATGAATATGTTCATGATTACAGTGTAGGATAGTGATTATCAACCTGAGCGATATGTATATTTTAAAGAATGATTAAATTCTTTATGATTATGTACCTATCTTTCTAAGTTTATTTAATTGAGGGGGAAAGAGGGGAAGAAGAGGTTGGGGTGTGTGTGGGGGGGGGGGGGGTTGAAAGACATTAACTAAGCGAAATGCAAAACTGAAAAAAATGACTTCAACGATTATATAGATCTTTTAATTTTGTAAGAAAAGCTATCCAAAATTGAGCCAGTGACAGACAATTATTATAAGAAATTGTTTCATCGACCAAAATTTGATTACTTCCAGCCTGGATCTCGTTTTTGATCAGTGAGTGTTGTCAGTTTTCCAGGCTGCCATACATATACTTAAACACCAGTTGTAAAGTTTGTGTCTATCAATTCCGAAGAAGACAGGTTGTATTTTTAAAAAGTCAAACTTACATTGTAAAATTTATTCGTCCTTATGAACATAATTTATGTGTAGATCGGTTGGAGGGGGGGTTACTGCTATCCCTGCCTGTCATGAAATGTCTCTCGGTAGATTAAAAGGGGAATTTGAGAACCATAATGAGCCAAGATTATTACTTAAAACGATAAGTAAAGATATCCGTTCACGCCACAAAACTATGTAAAATAAGGCGAGTCAGACAAATGTTTCACTAAACCCTTATTTGTGTCCTAGTATGGTAACTGGCTTAATGCCTCATTGAGCTCTCTAAGGTTGTTTAATACTAAAAACTCCGATATTTTATTATTATTATCTATATCCGAAAGATATCTAACCAGCTGGATGCATAACAGTGACCCTCAACCAAAATGAATAAATAAGTAAACAAATAAACAGATAAATAAATAAATGATTAAACAAATGAATGAATAAATAAATAAATAAATAAATAAATTGATTAATTAACAAGCCCAGAACTATCATCTGGCGATTAGAAAGACAGCTGCCGGCACATACCATTGTGCATCATGATACGAACTGGAATATAGGCATACCCGCTATTACAATCTCAACTGGAATTTCCCTTTGAACAAAAAGACAGTTTGACTGTCATGATGATCAAATAATTGATTTAACCCTTCTAGTTTTGATGTGTTTCCATTTACTATAATTTGTACAAACAAGACAACGTGTTCATTCAAGAGAGATAGAAACAAAGCCACAACATATTATTTTCACCTTAATAAGAATAAGAAACTACACAAATTGCAAGAACATCTTAAAAAGATATCCGCTATAGACAAATAGGGGGAAAATAGCAATGAATCAGTTGAAGAGAGCACAAGTGGGCATATTATTATATTTATATTATTACAGTGGAATCCTGTTGAAACGAGAGGGAGGGCATCGGTGCGAAATGTCCGTTATTGCAGGATTCTCGTTGTAAGGGACCCAGTAATAAATTCAAGGGAAATAGTAAAGTAGGCCTAGTCTATGAGTTTGGTGTTCTGTTTATTATTTTTTTTATTTTCCCTGATAATGATTTTGTTCAACATGATTTCTAGGTCTAACTTGTTCAAAAATCGAATCAGGTTTCTTTCTCTAGCACTGGCAATGTTGACAACTCTACGTTGGCGATCAGAAAGAAGGGGCTCTGGCTCTAGGCTAACTCGCCCTCTGTGTTGTCCTCCATCCAAGGAGTTTACTTTTAATCTCCTTGCCTCCATCCAACCACACTATGTGGTGTGTTGTGTCTGCTTGAGCACGTGACACATTCACTCCATCTATCACAGCATTGTGACCTCTCCATCTCGCACCAGAGAAGTGAGAGGCATGGTAATGGTAGGCCTAGATAATCTAGACTAGGCTGGCCTATCAAGCGATGCGTTCTGCTCGTCTGCGCATGCAACACCCTCCCCACTCATTGGCCTCGGCCTTCATTGTTGGTTCGCGTGGGCTCTCCAATTCTTTGTTTCGCTGGATCACCAACAACTTTCTCAACTGGCAAGGTTTTATGTTTAATTGGTCTTTCCGTTGAGCACAGCTGCAGCAATATTTCGTTATAACCGACTCCCGTGACTCTCTGATTGCGCAATAGCAGTATTTTATTTACAAAGATAAAGAAGGAAAAGAAAACAGGGTTTTAGAATAGTGTCTTTTTAACAGACTTTTCGTTATTTCAGGACTCGTTATAAGTGGACTCCACTGTATACATCTATGTAGCATTGAGGAAGTGAAGTTAAAATGTTCAAGCCATTTGCCATTTCTTCCTGAAGATATGAATTCTATACCCATGACGGGAAGGGTTATTTTAAAAGTTTAAAAAGAACCTGTTTTACGGCGCTCTCAACTGTAAGGTCAAATGAGCGCACGGAACACATGAAGCATTCAGTTGGTGAAAAATTTGGAATTTTGCCCGAGTAGCTGCCGAAGCCTACTCTTATCTGTTTTGGACCAACAAGGGATCTTTAACCTCCGCAACATGCACTCGGGACCTCTGAAAATTTTCGCCCATGTCCAAGAAGGCTAAGTGTAGATCTTTGTTACCATAAGTTCAGGGGTGTGGCTGAAAGACAGCAGTAAGAAGGAGCCAGGGAGTAGCAGTAGAAAGGCTGCAGAAAGAGTTAGGAGTCCAGAGGAGGGGGCAAAGGAGGTGAGGGGTGAGGGGTGAGGGCAGAAAGCGGAGGCGAAAGCAGACGACAGAGCATTGCTAAAGAGCTGGAAAGGACGTGAAAGGAGACCATTTTAGAGAAGAAAAACATTCCGTTGCTTTTCGGATT